AGTATAGTCTTCTTCAATTTTTATTAATAATATACGATCTTCAAAATCCAAAAGAGTTTTATAATCAAAACTATTTTGATTTAAATTACTCTTATTATTCGATAGTTCGTCATCTGGCATAGTATCATTAGTTTCATCAAAAAGATGAATATTATGTTTATTATCGTTCGTATATTCGTAATCATCGCCGCCATCATCATCAATAATACGTGTTTGATATTCAACGGAAAACTGAGATCTATCTGTTTCTGGAACCATTGGTGGTGAACATGATGGTGTAAATGAAAACATTGTGGAATTATGTGACATTGCACGTAAACGACGATTATCTTCGATTTTCTGTTTTTTTGTACGTTTTTCTTCTTCGGACATAATCCATTCTTTACGTAAACCTTTGTCGAAACATTTTTTAAGTCTACAAGCTTTACATCTCTAAAAGAGAAAAATAGAATAGAAATTAAAATATATTTCTTTTTCTTTTTTGTGCTTTTAACATACTTTTCGAGTTTCTAAAGTTATAACACAATCATTATTACTAGATCGACATTGAAATTTGTCCTAATTATAATTAAGATTTTTGATTTGTGAAACCTTCAGTTAAAATTATTAATGAACTTACTGCATTATTTAATGCATTACGACGGAAAAATGCTTTACAACTTTCACAAGTTATTTGATCGAAGTTATAGCCTAAGAATAAAGAAAGAAAGATAGATAGATCAGATACAATAAAAGAAGAATATCAAGGACACAAAGAAATAATGTGAAGCATTATATTTTCACTTACCCATAGCTGGTGCGTGACAAACAACGCAAATAAGATCCTGACGATCACGTTTGCGAGGATTTATACCAGAAAATGAACGTTTACGATGTTGTTGTTGTCTCATCTCAGCTGTATTAGTTGTAGGAACTCTATGGTCCGTTTGCATCGTAAATAAGAAAGTATTTTAATTTAATGATAAAACTTCGTTTGTTTCTTGTAATTAACTAAAAATAATAAAAAATTGTTTCAAATAATAACTAAATCATATATGCTTACATATGTATGCATACTCACATTGGCTCGATAATAATCTAACTGAGTTGGTCTCTACTGTATTGCGAGAGGAAAGAAAAAGAACGTAATAAGAGTACGAAGGGCTGGATGGGTTGATAGAAGAGAGAAAAAGAGAATAAATATAGAAAAAGAAAAATGAGAGAAGAAGAAAAATAGAGAAAGAAAATATAGATGCGACCAAAATGAAGTATATTCACGTGTGAACAACACGAGCCAACCCATGTATAACAAAATAATTTAATGAGATAGGATCTTACAAAGCAGAAGAATAAGTATAACAGATCATCAGTACTTTCTAAATATATCGAGGTAGTCATAAAAAAGAGACGATAATCTGCTACATGATTATGTTAATAACTAATGGTAAATATGTTTCTTTCTTCTGTAAACATATTTCATCAATTTAGCCATCTGAGATTTACTAACATGCGAAAGAATAGATCACAATTTATTTATAAATTAAAACATAAGGAAAGATTATTTTCTTTTTATAACATTGATAAAAATTGTAGAACCGCAAGTTAATCTACCTTTTTTCCTTTCTAGATTTCTGTGTGAGAAAAGAAGAAATAGCAGGAATTGTGGGTTTAGATAAAAATTCTTGCAGTATTTTCTACATGAAAGAATACGTAGATAAGAAAATATCCTAATTTGTTCGACGATTCAATCAACTAATACTTTTTCTTTTCAATAGTTTCCCTAAAGATCTATTATCCGGATTTTTGTATCCAAAAATAACTTTTTTCGTTCTTTGATAGACCATGTAAATAGAATTCTTAATTATTTAAGTACGATCATCAATAATTACTCAATATAATTCTACTTTCAAATAAAAATATATTTAAAAAATTAGTTTTTATTTTATATAACATTCATACACACTAAAATAACAAATCTTCTCTATGTAATATAAATAATAAGAGTTTCCGAGACTCATTCCTTTTTTTT